ACAGTGGGCCCTTAGAACATGTACAGCAGGCCCTTACAGCATGTACAGTTGGCTCTTACAACATGTACAGCAGGCCTTACAACATGTACGGTGGGCCCTTACAACATGTACAGTTGGCCCTTACAGCATGTACAGTGGGCCCTTACAACATGTACAGCAGGCCCTTACAACATGTACAGCAGGCCCTTACAGCTTGTACAGTGGGCCCTTACAGCATGTACAGTGAGCCCTTACAGCATTTACAGCAGGCCCTTACAACATGTACAGTGGGCCCTTACAGCATGTACAGTTGGCCCTTACAGCATGTACAGCAGGCCCTTACAACATGTACAGCAGGCCCTTAGAACATGTACAGCGGGCCTTACAGCATGTACAGTTGGCCCTTACAGCATGTACAGTGGGCCTTACAGCATGTACAGCGAGCCTTACAGCATGTACAGCGAGCCTTACAGCATGTACAGCGGGTCTTACAACATGTACAGCGGTCCTTACAGCATGTACAGCGGGCCTTACAACATGTACAGTGGGCCCTTACAACATGAACAGTGGGCCCTTACAACATGTACAGTTGGCCCTTACAACATGTACAGCAGGCCCTTACAGCATGTACAGCAGGCCCTTACAGCATGTACAGCAGGCCCTTACAACATGTACAGTGGGCCCTTACAACATGTACAGTGGGCCTTACAACATGTACAGCGGGCCTTACAACATGTACAACAAGCCTTACTACATGTACAGCGGCCCTTACAACATGTACAGCGGCCCTTACAGCATGTACAGCGGGCCTTACAACGTGTACAGCGGGCCTTACAACATGTATAGCGGCCCTTACAGCATGTACAGTGGGCCCTTAGAACATGTACAGCAGGCCCTTACAGCATGTACAGTGAGCCCTTACAGCATGTACAGTGAGCCCTTACAGCATGTACAGCAGGCCCTTACAGCATGTACAGTGAGCCCATACAGCATGTACAGTGAGCCCTTACAGCATGTACAGCAGGCCCTTACAACATGTACAGTGGGCCCTTAAAGCATGTACAGTTGGCCCTTACAGCATGTACAGCAGGCCCTTAGAACATGTACAGCAGGCCCTTAGAACATGTACAGCGGGCCTTACAGCATGTACAGCGAGCCTTACAGCATGTACAGCGGCCCATACGAAATGTACAGCAGGTCTTACAACATGTACAGCGGGCCTTACAACATGTACAGCAGGTCCTTACAACATGTACAGTGGGCCCTTACAGCATGTACAGTGGGCCCTTAGAACATGTACAGCAGGCCCTTACAACATGTACAGTGGGCCCTTAGAACATGTACAGTGGGCCCATACAGCATGTACAGTGGGCCCTTACAGCATGTACAGTGGGCCCTTACAGCATTTACAGCAGGCCCTTACAACATGTACAGCAGGCCCTTACAGCATGTACAGCAGGCCCTTACAGCATGTACAGTGGGCCCTTAGAACATGTACAGCAGGCCCTTACAGCATGTACAGCAGGCCCTTACAGCATGTACAGTGGGCCCATACAGCATGTACAGTGAGCCCTTACAGCATGTACAGCAGGCCCTTACAACATGTACAGTGGGCCCTTAAAGCATGTACAGTTGGCCCTTACAGCATGTACAGCAGGCCCTTAGAACATGTACAGCAGGCCCTTAGAACATGTACAGCAGGCCCTTAGAACATGTACAGCGGGCCTTACAGCATGTACAGTTGGCCCTTACAGCATGTACAGCGAGCCTTACAGCATGTACAGCGAGCCTTACAGCATGTACAGCGGCCCTTACGAAATGTACAGCGGGTCTTACAACATGTACAGCGGGCCTTACAACATGTACAGCAGGTCCTTACAACATGTACAGTGGGCCCTTACAGCATGTACAGTGGGCCCTTAGAACATGTACAGCAGGCCCTTACAGCATGTACAGCAGGCCCTTACAACATGTACAGCCGGCCCTTACAGCATGTACAGCTGGCCCCACGTACAGTCAGACTTACAGCATGTACAGCAGGCCCTTACAACATGTACAGCTGGCCCCACATACAGTGAGACTTACAGCATGTGCAGTGGGCCCTTACAACATGTACAGTGGGCCCTTACAGCATGTACAGTGGGCCCTTACAACATGTACAGTGGGCCCTTACAACATGTACAGTGGGCCCTTACAGCATGTACAGCAGGCCCTCACGTACATCGAGCCTTACAGCATGTGCAGGTTATGGGGGACGTGGCCTGAGTCTAGGATTGATTCACTGATGTGTGTACTACAGATCTGATCACGGATGCTCCCAGCCGATGGCGGTCTCAGTGAGAGGGCTGGGGGATCAGCTGGGACTGTGTCATAAGATTTGATGGTTGAAACTCTGGACTTGGCTAAGCTCTGTAGTCAGTGATCATGGTGATAGGAGGTTGTATGAGTCGGTGGAAACAGAAAAAGATTACTCCGTTTTATGCAAGTCAACTATTTGAATTATTATATTATTTTGTACCTTTGTGAAATTATTTTAGATGATTAAAGTGCAGAGAATTGTTTTTCTAGAGCTGCCCTTCCAACAAGGATGCTCAGAACAACACAATGCTTGAAAGCATCATCTTGCTGCATCAACATCGCAGTATCACGGGAATGTTTGACGCACAGACATTCCTGCTTGTGAGGAGTTTCCTGTGAGCTGAGATTGTCAGCTTGTTACATTAGAATACTGGGTGCATGTGTCCTCACTGGAGACACTGGCAAATTCATGTACACATGTGCAATATACTCCTATATGTACATACAGTCACACGTGCAATATACTCCTATATGTATAGTCACATGTGCAATATACTCCTATATGTATATAGTCACATGTGCAATATACTCCTATATGTATACAGTCACATGTGCAATATACTCCTATATGTATACAGTCACATGTGCAATATACTCCTATATGTATACAGTCACACCTGCAATATACTCCTATATGTATACAGTCACATGTGCAATATACTCCTATATGAATACAGTCACATGTGCAATATACTCCTATATGTATACAGTCACATGTGCAATATACTCCTATATGTATACAGTCACATGTGCAATATACTCCTATATGAATACAGTCACATGTGCAATATACTCCTGTATGTATAGTCACATGTGCAATATACTCCTATATGAATACAGTCACACGTGCAATATACTTCTATATGTATAGTCACATGTGCAATATACTCCTGTATGTATACAGTCACATGTGCAATATACTCCTGTATGTATACAGTCACATGTGCAATATACTCCTATATGTATACAGTCACATGTGCAATATACTCCTATATGTATACAGTCACATGTGCAATATACTCCTATATGTATACAGTCACATGTGCAATATACTCCTATATGTTTAGTCACATGTGCAATATACTCCTATATGTATACAGTCACACATGCAATATACTCCTATATGTATACAGTCACATGTGCAATATACTCCTGTATGTATACAGTCACATGTGCAATATACTCCTGTATGTATACAGTCACATGTGCAATATACTCCTATATGTATACAGTCACATGTGAATGGGGCCGGGTGTACACAAGTATTTCCCCTGGCCGCCGGAGTATATACTTACTTCGTCATGACATTCACCTGATGAAGGAGTAAGTATATACTCCGAAATGTTGTGTTCCTCATAATAAAGAAGTTGACATCCATAAATTTCCTTTCAGTCACTTCTAAATGCCTTTCAAACACTTCACAGATTTATCCATTTAATATTCTTGCCAAATGAAATATGAAAACTTTGGAAACAGAATTTTCTGTTGACATTTGTTTTCACCAGCAGTTTTAATAGCTAATCTGAATAACACGCTTGATCATAGCATGGGGACAGTTGGGCATTACTAGCGAACTGAGGTCAAGATGCTGAAGATGTTTTGCCTCTGGTTGCATGGCGTAATGACAAGGTAGACTGGGAAACTGTTTGATCTTTGTATTGTGGTAGTTTTTCTCTCAATGTAATGAATACATGCAGTACTTATTCTAACAAGCATTTCATGTTGTAAGGTTTCTTACGTTCAGTTGTTGCCTGGGGTGATGAAGTCCTGCCTGCACCCTGTGTCAGCGCTGTAGTTAATGTGAGGCTTCAACATGTCAGCTTTCATTACAGGTACCATCTATTCTAAAATTAGAAGAAGAAAATTAGTTTTCCGTGTCTTCCATTTTGCCTATTTCCATGTTTATTTATACATGTGATATTAAATACACACAGGCCTGAGAACCTCATTCTTTGATTCCTGGTGATTACGACCAGCAAAATAGATAACATATTACTTTTTATTTCAAAGGAAATTTGTTTTTCAATCATAAAACTTCTGAGGTGAATGCTGTAAGGATACAATGTAACACAGATTCAGCATTCCTCCACGGGACTCCAGCATCCTGTCAAGAGGGGAGCCGCTCATTCCCTGTTTAAGGCAGAGTTAACAAGAGGTGCACTTCATGCACACATGGACACTTCAGTCTCTGTATGCAGCAGCACGTCAGGAAAAAGAAAATGTCTCAAACTTCAGGCGATGTGGTCTCACTCAAAAAGTGGTTTTCTTTCCATTTGAAGTTTGCTGCTTAGAATGCACTAATGAAATATTTTCCATCTTTGTTAGAAAATAAAACAAATGGCGGCTGGTAATAATACCAGGGACGTAAGACAGTTTTAAGACATATCTTGTCTATTGAATGGATGTTCATGGGAAATTAACACAAATGTACAAGTGTTAGTTGTAGAATTTAGACTGTACAATACCGACTGTTGGCTGGAGATGTTTTGTTTCAAGTGTCATCAGCTAATCTTTAGTGAAAGTAGCTATTTCACCCGATACCTGTGGTCGACGAACATGTACGTGAAGAAGCAGAAGGCATCTGGCTCACCCAGGATCTGGAGAAATGACAAGTAAAACCCTAAACTTGTATTTATTTTATCAATTATTATTACTTTTTTCAGATCTCAACCATGGTTCATTCATGACACTAACAGTGCAGTTTAAATCGTGGGTGGAGTCATTACGAACACTGTGATTGGATACTGTAAGTGATTGACAGCTAAGGCCAACAAATCAGCATCATGGGAGAGATAGCCCCCTGGAATCCCATGCAGTTCATCTTCATATCGTTTTTCACATGCTACCTGTCATTCATGAGGCCCCCAGAAGGTAAGTCACGTGATCAGGTCATGTGACCCTGTAGTGATCTTACTCCTTTAATGCTTCTAAATAAAAAGTTGCGATCCCTACATTATTTACAGAGAGTGTAAAAGTTTAAAGGCCGAAAACTTGATGAACAAATACTTGGAGAGTGTACTGTAATATTCAGTAATATCAACACGTCTTGATTGTTACACTACTTGTGTACTGTCATGTCATGTCTAGCATGTCACAATGTCGTAATAGTGGTGTGCACTTAAGAATAAAACATCAAAGCATGCTTCATTTTCTCGAGGGAAGTCAGCTTGTCAGGATTGTCTGCTTATCAATACTTGGATGAATAGGCACAGAGGGTTGTGTCTACAGCATGTGATGTTGTTTCAGGGGGGATGTCGGTGATTGCGCTGTACCTGCTGACGTTCTTCATCTGCACCCCCGCCCTGTACATCCAGCTGAAGCTGGGCGGTTACCTGCAAAAGGGCATTGTGGGTATCTTCTCCATGTTCTTCCCAATCTGGAAAGGTAGGTGTATCCAACATGGACGCTCTACATCTCTGCCGTGTACCGTCCCTCTACATTTTTGCAGTGTACCGTCCCTCTACATCTCTGCCTTGTACCGTCCCTCTACATCTCTGCCTTGTACCGTCCCTCTACATCTCTGCCGTGTACCGTCCCTCTACATTTCTGCCGTGTACCGTCCATCTACATTTCTGCCGTGTACCGTCCCTCTACATTTCTGCCGCGTACCGTCCCTCTACATCTCTGCCTTGTACCGTCCCTCTACATCTCTGCCTTGTACCGTCCCTCTACAACTCTGCCGTGTACCGTCCCTCTACATCTCTGCCGTGTACCGTCCATCTACATTTCTGCCGTGTACCGTCCCTCTACATTTCTGCCGCGTACTGTCCCTCTACATCTCTGCCGTGTACTGTCCATCTACATTTCTGCCGTGTACCCTCCCTCTACATTTCTGCCGCGTACCGTCCCTCTACATCTCTGCCGTGTACCGTCCCTCTACATTTCTGCCGTGTACCGTCCCTCTACATTTCTGCCGTGTACCGTCCCTCTACATTTCTGCCATGTACCGTCCCTCTACATTTCTGCCTTGTACCATCCCTCTACAACTCTGCCGTGTACCGTCCATCTACATTTCTGCCGTATATCGTCCCTCTACATCTCTGCCGTGTACCGTCCCTGTAATCTCTGCCGTGTACCATCCCTCTACATTTCTGCCGTGTACCGTCCCTTTACATTTCTGCCGTGTACCGTCCCTCTGCATCTCTGCCCTGTATCTCTACATTTCTGCCGTGTACCGTCCCTCTACATCTCTGCCGTGTACCATCCCTCTACATTTCTGCCGTGTACCGTCCATCTACATTTCTGCCGTGTACCGTCCCTTTACATCTCTGCCCTGTATCTCTACATCTCTGCCGTGTACCGTCCCTCTACATTTCTGCATTGTACCGTCCCTCTACATCTCTGCCTTGTACCGTCCCTCTACATTTCTCCCTTGTACTGTCCCTCTACATCTCTGCCGTGTACCGTCCCTCTACATCTCTGCCGTGTACCGTCCCTCTACATTTCTGCCGTGTACCGTCCCTCTACATCTCTGCACTGTATCATCCCTCTACATCTCTGCCGTGTACCGTCCCTCTACATCTCAGCCGTGTATCTCTACATCTCTGCCGTGTACCGTCCCTCTACATCTCTGCCTTGTACCGTCCCTCTACATTTCTGCTGTATACCGTCCCTCTACATCTCTGCACTGTATCATCCCTCTACATCTCTGCCGTGTACCGTCCCTCTACATCTCAGCCGTGTACCGTCCCTCTACATCTCTGCCGTGTACCGTCCCTCTACATTTCTGCCGTGTACCGTCCCTCTACATTTCTGCCGTGTACCGTCCCTGTACATCTCTGCCGTGTACCGTCCCTCTACATTTCTGCCGTGTACCGTCCCTCTACATCTCTGCCGTGTACCGTCCCTCTACATTTCTGCCGTGTACCGTCCCTCTACATTTCTGCCGTGTACCGTCCCTGTACATCTCTGCCGTGTACCGTCCCTCTACATTTCTGCCGCGTACCGTCCCTGTACATCTCTGCCGTGTACCGTCCCTCTACATTTCTGCCGTGTACCGTCCCTCTACATTTCTGCCGTGTACCGTCCCTCTACATTTCTGCCATGTACCGTCCCTCTACATTTCTGCCTTGTACCATCCCTCTACAACTCTGCCGTGTACCGTCCATCTACATTTCTGCCGTATATCGTCCCTCTACATCTCTGCCGTGTACCGTCCCTGTAATCTCTGCCGTGTACCATCCCTCTACATTTCTGCCGTGTACCGTCCCTTTACATTTCTGCCGTGTACCGTCCCTCTACATCTCTGCCCTGTATCTCTACATTTCTGCCGTGTACCGTCCCTCTACATCTCTGCCGTGTACCATCCCTCTACATTTCTGCCGTGTACCGTCCATCTACATTTCTGCCGTGTACCGTCCCTTTACATCTCTGCCCTGTATCTCTACATCTCTGCCGTGTACCGTCCCTCTACATTTCTGCATTGTACCGTCCCTCTACATCTCTGCCTTGTACCGTCCCTCTACATTTCTCCCTTGTACTGTCCCTCTACATCTCTGCCGTGTACCGTCCCTCTACATCTCTGCCGTGTACCGTCCCTCTACATCTCAGCCGTGTATCTCTACATCTCTGCCGTGTACCGTCCCTCTACATCTCTGCCTTGTACCGTCCCTCTACATTTCTGCTGTATACCGTCCCTCTACATCTCTGCACTGTATCATCCCTCTACATCTCTGCCGTGTACCGTCCCTCTACATCTCAGCCGTGTACCGTCCCTCTACATCTCTGCCGTGTACCGTCCCTCTACATTTCTGCCGTGTACCGTCCCTCTACATTTCTGCCGTGTACCGTCCCTGTACATCTCTGCCGTGTACCGTCCCTCTACATTTCTGCCGTGTACCGTCCCTCTACATCTCTGCACTGTATCATCCCTCTACATTTCTGCCGTGTACCATCCCTCTACATTTCTGCCGTGTACCGTCCCTCTACATCTCTGCACTGTATCATCCCTCTACATCTCTGCTGTGTACCGTCCCTCTACATGTCTGCCGTGTACCGTCCCTCTACATCTCTGCCCTGTATCTCTACATCTCTGCCGTGTACCGTCCCTCTACATCTCTGCTCTGTATCTCTACATCTCTGCCGTGTATCGTCCCTCTACATCTCTGCCCTGTATCTCCACATCTCTGCCCTGTGTCTCCACATCTGTGCCCTGTCTCTCCACATCTGTGCCCTGTATCTCTACCTCTCTGCCCTGTATCTCTACCTCTCTGCCCTGTATCTCTACCTCTCTGCCCTGTCTCTCCACATCTGTGCCATGTCTCTCCACATCCCTACCCTGTCTCTCCACATCCCTGCCCTGTCTCTCCACATTCCTGCCCTGTGTCTTCACATCCCTGCCCTGTGTCTCCACATCTCTGCCCTGTCTCTCCACATCCCTGCCCTGTCTCTCCACATCTCTGCCCTGTCTCTCCACATCTGTGCCCTGTATCTCTACCTCTCTGCCCTGTATCTCTACCTCTCTGCCCTGTCTCTCCACATTCCTGCCCTGTGTCTTCACATCCCTGCCCTGTGTCTCCACATCTCTGCCCTGTCTCTCCACATCCCTGCCCTGTCTCTCCACATCTCTGCCCTGTCTCTCCACATCTGTGCCCTGTATCTCTACCTCTCTGCCCTGTATCTCTACCTCTCTGCCCTGTCTCTCCACATCTCTGCCCTGTCTCTCCACATCCCTGCCCTGTCTCTCCACATCTCTGCCCTGTATCTCCACATCTCTGCCCTGTCTCTCCACATCTCTGCCCTGTCTCTCCACATCTGTGCCCTGTGTCTCCACATCTGTGCCATGTCTCTCCACATCCCTACCCTGTCTCTCCACATCCCTGCCCTGTGTCTCCACATCTCTGCCCTGTCTCTCCACATCCCTGCCCTGTCTCTCCACATCCCTGCCCTGTGTCTCTACCTCTCTGCCCTGTATCTCTACCTCTCTGCCCTGTATCTCTACCTCTCTGCCCTGTCTCTCCACATCTGTGCCCTGTATCTCTACCTCTCTGCCCTGTATCTCTACCTCTCTGCCCTGTCTCTCCACATTCCTGCCCTGTGTCTTCACATCCCTGCCCTGTGTCTCCACATCTCTGCCCTGTCTCTCCACATCCCTGCCCTGTCTCTCCACATCTCTGCCCTGTCTCTCCACATCTGTGCCCTGTATCTCTACCTCTCTGCCCTGTATCTCTACCTCTCTGCCCTGTTTCTCCACATTCCTGCCCTGTGTCTTCACATCCCTGCCCTGTGTCTCCACATCTCTGCCCTGTCTCTCCACATCCCTGCCCTGTCTCTCCACATCTCTGCCCTGTCTCTCCACATCTGTGCCCTGTATCTCTACCTCTCTGCCCTGTATCTCTACCTCTCTGCCCTGTCTCTCCACATCTCTGCCCTGTCTCTCCACATCCCTGCCCTGTATCTCCACATCTCTGCCCTGTCTCTCCACATCTGTGCCCTGTATCTCTACCTCTCTGCGCTGTGTCTCCACATCTGTGCCCTGTCTCTCCACATCTGTGCCATGTCTCTCCACATCCCTACCCTGTCTCTCCACATCCCTGCCCTGTGTCTCCACATCTCTGCCCTGTCTCTCCACATCCCTGCCCTGTCTCTCCACATCTCTGCCCTGTCTCTCCACATCCCTGCCCTGTCTCTCCACATCTCTGCCCTGTCTCTCCACATCTGTGCCCTGTATCTCTACCTCTCTGCCCTGTATCTCCACATCTCTGCCCTGTCTCTCCACATCTCTGCCCTGTCTCTCCACATCTGTGCCCTGTGTCTCCACATCTGTGCCATGTCTCTCCACATCCCTACCCTGTCTCTCCACATCCCTGCCCTGTATCTCCACATCTCTGCCCTGTCTCTCCACATCCCTGCCCTGTCTCTCCACATCCCTGCCCTGTGTCTCCACATCTCTGCCCTGTATCTCTACCTCTCTGCCCTGTTTCTCAACATCTGTGCCCTGTCTCTCCACATCTCTGCCCTGTCTCTCCACATCCCTGCCCTGTCTCTCCACATCTCTGCCCTGTCTCTCCACATCTCTGCCCTGTATCTCTACCTCTCTGCCCTGTATCTCTACCTCTCTGCCCTGTCTCTCCACATTCCTGCCCTGTGTCTTCACATCCCTGCCCTGTGTCTCCACATCTCTGCCCTGTCTCTCCACATCCCTGCCCTGTCTCTCCACATCTCTGCCCTGTCTCTCCACATCTGTGCCCTGTATCTCTACCTCTCTGCCCTGTATCTCTACCTCTCTGCCCTGTCTCTCCACATCTCTGCCCTGTCTCTCCACATCCCTGCCCTGTCTCTCCACATCTCTGCCCTGTCTCTCCACATCTGTGCCCTGTATCTCTACCTCTTTGCCCTGTGTCTCCACATCTCTGCCCTGTGTCTCCACATCTCTGCCCTGTCTCTCCACATCTGTGCCCTGTCTCTCCACATCTGTGCCCTGTCTCTCCACATCCCTACCCTGTCTCTCCACATCCCTGCCCTGTGTCTCCACATCTCTGCCCTGTCTCTCCACATCCCTGCCCTGTCTCTCCACATCTCTGCCCTGTATCTCCACATCTCTGCCCTGTGTCTCCACATCTCTGCCCTGTCTCTCCACATCTGTGCCCTGTCTCTCCACATCTGTGCCATGTCTCTCCACATCCCTACCCTGTCTCTCCACATCCCTGCCCTGTGTCTCCACATCTCTGCCCTGTCTCTCCACATCCCTGCCCTGTCTCTCCACATCTCTGCCCTGTCTCTCCACATCCCTGCCCTGTCTCTCCACATCTCTGCCCTGTCTCTCCACATCTGTGCCCTGTATCTCTACCTCTCTGCCCTGTATCTCCACATCTCTGCCCTGTCTCTCCACATCTCTGCCCTGTCTCTCCACATCTGTGCCCTGTGTCTCCACATCTGTGCCATGTCTCTCCACATCCCTACCCTGTCTCTCCACATCCCTGCCCTGTGTCTCCACATCTCTGCCCTGTCTCTCCACATCCCTGCCCTGTGTCTCCACATCTCTGCCCTGTATCTCTACCTCTCTGCCCTGTTTCTCAACATCTGTGCCCTGTCTCTCCTCATTTGTGCCCTGTATTGTAGGTGTGGGTGTGGTGGCTGTGATAGATCTGCTGTTGAGACTCACCAACCTCGCCCCCATTGTTGCCCAGTTTGGCACCTATGCCTTCATCGCCATCTCGGAGCAGCCATACGTGTGGGGCAACTGTAAGACAATAATCGACCAACCTTTCTGCTATGATGGCCATTCAGAGGTGAAGTAAGTAACCGTGGTAACAGACACAAATACAACTCCAACAAACAGAGAATAACAGCTATGAGGAATTGTAAATTATCTGTAGTCAATGGTCATTTGAAGCTGGCACCTATTAGTAATTCCAAGGTTTATTTTTTAGAATGGAACGATGTTAATCCAGATTCTCAACAGTAAGATCACCCAAGTCCACATCAACAAATGATCCATATAGTGAATTTATTTGTGTGAACTGATCGTCAGTACAAACATTTGGTTTGGGATTCAGATTGAACCTTTTATGTCATACTTAGATTTCATCATGTCAAATATAATATCATGTCATAAGTTTAGTTTTCAGTTAAATGAGCATGTCAAATAATTTTCTAAACTATTTAAAAGACTTTTTAACTTATATATTTGTCATTTTCAGTGTGTTAAAAAGAGCTTGTACTTTTGCAGAATTTTAAACAACATGAAATCCTACCACAGAGCGGAGGAGTTGTTTTACAAGTAAGTCAGGTGCCACTGCAGGGGTGATACAACAGCCAAGGGGAGACAACTAATGGATTGTCTCCCTTGATGCTGCACTGAAGTATTATAGTTGATGGTTTGTTTAAATTCCCCTCAGACTGGGCACACATGTAGTTCATGAGTTTCTCACAGATTAAACAATTGCAAAATTTTAGGCCCAAGCTACTGGTTCTCTTGCAGTGAAAATATAGACCTTTTGAACAATGCAGGTATTGATGTTAATTTGAAAATATGTTCTGCCAAGTAATTGTTCCGTCTCTTTGTGGCAATGTGTCACTGAGGCCCTGAACACAACTATAACTTCACTATATTTTGCCCCTGTGATTAGAGTGCAGTATTTGTTTGCTGTTGTGATTAGAGTGCAGTATTTGTTTGCTGTTGTGATTAGAGTGCAGTATTTGTTTGCAACTGTGATTAGAGTGCAGTATTTGTTTGCTGTTGTGATTAGAGTGCAGTATTTGTTTGCTGTTGTGATTAGAGTGCAGTATTTGTTTGCAACTGTGATTAGAGTGCAGTATTTGTTTGCTGTTGTGATTAGAGTGCAGTATTTGTTTGCCCCTGTGATTAGAGTGCAGTATTTGTTTGCCCCTGTGATTAGAGTGCAGTATTTGTTTGCCCCTGTGATTAGAGTGCAGTATTTGTTTGCCCCTGTGATTAGAGTGCAGTATTTGTTTGCCCCTGTGAACAGAGTGCAATATTTGTTTGCCCCTGTGAACAGAGTGCAGTATTTGTTTGCCCCTGTGATTAGAGTGCAGTATTTGTTTGCCCCTGTGATTAGAGTGCAGTATTTGTTTGCTGTTGTGATTAGAGTGCAATATTTGTTTGCCCCTGTGATTAGAGTGCAGTATTTGTTTGCCCCTGTGATTAGAGTGCAGTATTTGTTTGCTGTTGTGATTAGAGTGCAGTATTTGTTTGCAACTGTGATTAGAGTGCAGTATTTGTTTGCTGTTGTGATTAGATTGCAGTATTTGTTTGCCCCTGTGATTAGAGTGCAGTATTTGTTTGCTGTTGTGATTAGAGTGCAATATTTGTTTGCCCCTGTGAACAGAGTGCAGTATTTGTTTGCCCCTGTGATTAGAGTGCAGTATTTGTTTGCCCCTGTGATTAGAGTGCAGTATTTGTTTGCTGTTGTGATTAGAGTGCAGTATTTGTTTGCAACTGTGATTAGAGTGCAGTATTTGTTTGCTGTTGTGATTAGAGTGCAATATTTGTTTGCCCCTGTGAACAGAGTGCAATATTTGTTTGCCCCTGTGAACAGAGTGCAGTATTTGTTTGCCCCTGTGATTAGAGTGCAGTATTTGTTTGCCCCTGTGATTAGAGTGCAGTATTTGTTTGCCCCTATGATTAGAGTGCAGTATTTGTTTGCCCCTGTGATTAGAGTGCAGTATTTGTTTGCCCTTGTGATTAGAGTGCAGTATTTGTTTGCCCCTGTGATTAGAGTGCAGTATTTGTTTGCCCTTGTGATTAGAGTGCAGTATTTGTTTGCCCCTGTGATTAGAGTGCAGTATTTGTTTGCCCCTGTGATTAGAGTGCAGTATTTGTTTGCCCTTGTGATTAGAGTGCAGTATTTGTTTGCAGACACGAGTTTCTTCAGATTTCCACTGGCGTGGATTCCATGGATGGCTTTCCTCAGTGGAAGTTCACAGAGATTGCACGGAAGGCGGAGGTCTCTCTAATGCCAGTGACTCTGGCTATCGTGTGGGTCATCATCTTCCTCCTCGTTGGCTTTGGAGGACGCTTCTGTGGATGGGTAAACTCTCGATGTAGTGCTGATAGCTACCTCACCTCAACCAAACACATGGGAATTTATGTACCGTATTTTTTTGAGTATAGTGCGCACCCATGTATAATGCGCACTCCCCTCTAGCGGGTTCAATATTTTGGAAAAAAAAGAAATTTGAATATTATGCGCAGAAAAAAATTACACCGTACCCTTTCAGCGAAGTCCGGCAAACCACGGACGTATATACGTCTTTGGGCAAACGAACGGGTGATGAGAAACTTCGTCAGTAAAAATTCGAAATTTGAGATAAAAAATTAACCAGACATGTTTATTTAACGTTTAAATAGTATTTATTGTTCTGCTAGGCATTGTTTTATATCCAGGGATTAAGATAACCTTGTGTATTTTCTCGTAAACTTAGCCGGAAACAGCAATCAGCTGTACACACGTTTTCTTGGAATCGACCGGTGATTCGGTCAAGACACACCCAATGATATAACTTTATAGGATTTTTAATGCAAGGATCGGCAAAAATTGTATCTGAAACTATTTTTTTTATCAGGAATAATATATTCCATTATTTTCTTAATTATATGCAGCCTTTACTAAACATATTTAAAATAATAATAACCCTAAGCGAAGCAGCTGATCGCTATTCCCGGGTATTATTTTTTACATGGAACCAGTGTGACCAGTCACCGTCAAGGCTCACGCGCACGTGATCGCGTGATCGCGAGAATTTCATGTTGACATAGAATCGTCAAACAAAAACAAATATGACTTTTAACGAGTCAAAGTATGTCATTTATGATATATGTATCCATTCTCTGTCAACTTAAGTTCGTTTCAAGGCGTCAATAGCGGTATTCTGACCGTGGTTGCTGTTAATAACGGTGAGTTGTGCGATCTTCCGATCGCTTCACACACGATTTCGCCGAAATTAATAAAAACAATATTAAAAGTAATTTTGAATAAAATTAATGAAATAAGTTACAAACATAAGTCAAGATATACAAAGAACACTTTTTATAGCCAGACAGTGTAATTACATGATTATTTTGCGTACTTCAGTATGGATTTGTTGACATGGTATTTCCGGTGTTTCGTGCTCACGGTAATGTCTTTCCATTGGGGGAAAAAAACATCCAAACTCATAATTCGTGTATAATGCGCACCCCCTTCCACACAGCTGTGTTTTTTGGAAATAAAGTGCGCACTATACTCAAGAAAATACGGTAACACTTGATTTAGTGCTGATACCTACCTCACCTCAACCAAACACATTGAAATTTATGTAAACACTTGATTTAGTGCTGATAGCTACCTCACCTCAGCCAAAAAGGTGGGAATTTATGTAAACACTTGATTTAGTGCTGATATCTACCTCACCAAACACATGGGAATTTATGTAAACACTAGATGTAGTGCTGATAGCTGCCTCACCTCAACCAAACACATGGGAATTTATGTAAACACTAGATGTAGTCTCATAGCTACCTCACCAAACACATGGGAATTTTTGGAAACACTCCATGTAGTGCTGATAGATACCTCACCATAACCAAACACATGGGAATTTATGTAAACACTAGATGTAGTCTGATAGCTACCTCACCAGACACATGGGAATTTATGTAGACCCTTGATTTAGTGCTGATAGATACCTCACCATAACCAAACACATGGGAATTTATGTAAACACTAGATGTAGTCTGATAGATACCTCATCTCAACCAAACACATGGGAATTTATGTAAACACTAGATGTAGTCTGATAGCTACCTCATCTCAACCAAACACATGGGAATTTATGGAAACACTCCATGTAGTGCTGATATTAGGTTTCAGTGACAAATTCTAAGCCTCACATAGAAGAAATTGCATAGAAGTGAAATCTTTTCCTGTGGACATTGCATGGTGTCATAGAGGCATAGCCAGCAAAACGTTTGGTGTTTGATGGCAGGAGGGCAGTCTGACTCTACAAGGTCCCTTTCCTTTGCCAGGTGTTGTTCGTGATGGGGCCAGCTGCTCTGTCCTGTCTGCTTGCTGTCCTGGGCTATGGCTACACCCATCTTGACCGCTCCGCTGCCCTCGCCTACCTCAAGCAGGTGTATGCCTACAACTCAGAATACAGTGCTTTACGTGTACGTATACACCACACCTACAACTCAGAATACAGTGCTTTACGTGTACGTATACACCACACCTACAACTCAGAATACAGTGCTTTACATGTACGTATACACCACACCTACATCTCAGAATACAGTGCTTTACGTGTACGTATACACCACACCTACAACTCAGAATACAGTGCTTTACGTGTACGTATACACCACACCTACAACTCAGAATACAGTGCTTTACGTGTACGTATACACCACACCTACATCTCAGAATACAGTACTTTACGTGTACGTATACACCACACCTACATCTCAGAATACAGTGCTTTACGTGTACGTATACATCACACCTATATCTCAGAATACAGTGCTTTATGTGTACGTATACATCACACCTACAACTCAGAATACAGTGCTTTACGTGTACGTATACACCACTCCTACATCTCAGAATACATAGAGGTTATCACGCGAGTGTGTTTGGGGATGGTAAATATCCGGCATTAGGAATAAACATTGTATTTAGCGAGCCTTTGGTGAGCTAAATACATAGTGTTTATTCCTAATACAGGATATTTACCATCCCCAAACACACAAGCGTGATAACCTCTTTATCATATAATGTCATTCTTTAATTCTATACTTCAAAATCGCTTTACCTCTCTCACAAACATTACCGAAACATTGCGAGTTTTCCTGGAATGTGCGCATTAATATTCATTACGTCACAGGATAAGTGATGTGTCAGTCGGACAGTGACAGTAGCCGATATAGCTCCAACTGAAATCTGTTTTTAATACAGTGGCGAAGCAACATATACGCAAAACAACAATTGTTTTTAATTGCCTTTCGCGGCAATCCATCGGTCTGTCCGCTAGAGTAACTGCCCTTTGTCAAAGGGAAGCTACCCTAACCCTAGTCTATGAGACGTCACGGCCACGGTCAGACGTTGTTGACAGTCGGTCTGTCCTGTCATAACGTCATAGCGACAAAACGAAACAAGGTAACAATTCAAACATATTTCGGCCAAATCCAACTATTTTAATTTGTGGAGAAGGTTTCAAGCCACAGAGGTCTACAGGCACAGATATGGCTACTGATCCCGCTTGGCTAGGCCTCGTGCCCTCGCAAAATTGTTTCAAAAATTTATATCTCCAAAGTTGCCAAAACTTATAAAATGCCTAAGCTACGTCACAGTTAGACACTGATTTTCAGTATATTAGACTGTTCTTTTGATAATGATAGCAATTATCCCTGTAGTTTATCAAGATTCCCGATGGTTAATTCTGACTCGATCGCCGAATGACGAGGGCGACGCCATGTTTGTTTATAAACAGTGAAAGTAGTCCCCACTTGACCTTTGATATTTGCATCTCTATCCGCATGTGACCCCAACGGATATCGTTTTTATCCGTTGGCTTTATCCTGCCGAGAAACCTACCCATTATATGATAAAGTGCTTTACGTGTACGTATACACCAACTTCTCTTGGATTGAATTATTACATTCTCTCAAAGCATATTTCATATACTCACCTATGATGTATGCACACACTGATGCGTGTTGTCCCTTGATAGAGCTGGCACCAGTCCCTTCTCGTGGTGATGAACTCGCTGCCCGTGTGGACGGTCATTGCTGCCACCATGGGCAAGATGTGTGGCAAGGGGAGGTCAATACGAAACATGTGAGTACCACTAAATAGCCCCATGGCTCCATGATAAAATGTCACAGCTACAGAGAGTACAGTTGTCATAGCCTGTGAACTCTTTGATGCTGTGTGCATCATCTTGAACCTCTCTCTCTGCAGCACTTGGGTTCTCATGATCGGGGTCTACGCACTCTTCAGCCAGCTCCCTCCAATTGCCATGGCACCATATCTGGGTGACATGATCTTCAAACAGCAGAGTCCTGGCATGCAGAGTAAGTTTTTTTGTGATTCATTCCATACACAGTAAGTATTCACTGCAACACCTTTTACGGGGTAATTAAATAGACACCGTCAGTCTGTCCATTTCGTGCAAGATGTTGTTTAACTGTACAATATTGTGAACTGGTGCCTTTTGATATTTGGGTATTTTCAACAAAAATATTTTTCTATTTTCCAAAGCAACAACTTTGACTTAGGTTGGAAATGTCAGTAGTGCTAGTTTACGGAGCAGATCTTGAAAACTGTACAATATTTCTTCACCAAATTTAGATAGATAGATAGGGCTAGTGCCTTTTGATAGTTGAAGCAGCTGAGTTATTATTACTTGTGTCTGACTGGTGACTTGACAGTGTTATGTGAGCAGCATTGATACAGACAGAGAGCAGCTGTGATGATCCTGGTGTGTACATCTGTGATGATCCCTGTGTGTACAGCTGTGATGATCCCTGTGTGTACAGCTGTGATGATCTCTGTGTGTACAGCTGTGATGATCCTGGTGTACAGCTGTGATGATCCTGGTGTGTACAGCTGTGATGATCCCTGTGTGTACAGCTGTGATGATCCTGGTGTACAGCTGTGATGATCCTGGTGTGTACAGCTGTGATGATCCCTGTGTGTACAGCTGTAATGATCCCTGTGTGTACAGCTGTGATGATCCTGGTTTACAGCTGTGATGATCCTGGTGTATACACCTGTGATGATCCCAGTGTGTACAGCTGTTATGATCCTGGTGTACAGCTGTGATGATCACTGTGTGTACAGCAGTCATAATCCCTAGTGTGTCCAGCTGTGATGATCCTGGTGTGTACAGCTGTGATGATCCCAGTGTGTACAGCTGTTATGATCCTCGCGTGTACAGCTGTGATGATCCCTGTGTGTACAGCTGTGATGATCCTCGTGTGTACAGCTGTGATGATCCCAGTGTGTACAGCTGTGATGATCCTGGTGTGTACAGCTTTGATGATCCCTGTGTGTACAGCTGTGATGATCCCTGTTTGTACAGCTGTGATGGTCCTGGTGTGTACAGCTATGATGATCCTGGTGTGTACAGCTGTGATGATCCCAGTGTGTACAGCTGTGATGACCCATTTTGTGTACAGCTGTGATGACCCTCGTGTGTACAGCTGTGATGATCCCAGTGTGTACAGCTGTGATGATCCTGGTGTACAGCTGTGATGATCCCTGTGTGTACAGCTGTGATGATCCTAGTGTGTACAGCTGTGATGACCCATTTTGTGTACAGCTGTGATGACCCTCGTGTGTACAGCTGTGATGATCCCAGTGTGTACAGCTGTGATGAACCCTGTGTGTACTGCTGCGATGATCCCCGTGTGTACAGCTGTGATGGTCCCTGTGTGTACAACTGTGATAGTCCCTGTGTGTACAGTTGTGATGATCCCGGTGAGTACAGCTGTGATGATCCCGGTGTGTACAGCTGTGATGATCCTGGTGTGTACAGCTGTGATGATCCTGGTGTGTACAGCTGTGATGATCCTGGTGTGTCCAGCTGTGATGATCCTGGTGTGTACAGTGTGATGATCCTGGTGTGTACAGCTGTGATGATCCTTATGTTTACAGTTGTGATGACCCTGGTGTGTACAGCTGTGATGATCCCAGTGTGTACAGCTGTGATGATCCCAGTGTGTACAGCTTTGATGATCCCAGTGTGTACAGAAGTGATAATCCCTGTGTTTACAGCTGTGGTGATCCTAGTCTGTACAGCTGTGATGACCCTGGTGTGTACAGCTGTGATGATCCCAGTGTGTACAGCTGTGATGATCCCAGTGTGTACAGCTGTGATGATCCCAGTGTGTACAGCAGTGATAATCCCTGTGTTTACAGCTGTGGTGATCCTAGTCTGTACAGCTGTGATGATCCTGGTGTGTACAGCTGTGATGATCCTGGTTTGTCCAGCTGTGATGATCCTGGTGTACAGCTGTGATGATCCCTGTGTGTACAGCTGTGATGATCCTAGTGTGTACAGCTGTGATGACCCATTTTGTGTACAGCTGTGATGACCCTGGTGTTTACAGCTGTGATGATCCTTGTGTGTACAGTTGTGATGACCCTCGTGTGTACAGCTGTGATGATCCTCGTGTGTACAGCTGTGATGATCCTGGTGTACAGCTGTGATGATCCCTGTGTGTACAGCTGTGATGATCCTAGTGTGTACAGCTGTGATGACCCATTTTGTGTACAGCTGTGATGACCCTCGTGTGTACAGCTGTGATGATCCCAGTGTGTACAGCTGTGATGATCCTGGTGTACAGCTGTGATGATCCCTGTGTGTACAGCTGTGATGATCCTAGTGTGTACAGCTGTGATGACCCATTTTGTGTACAGCTGTGATGACCCTGGTGTGTACAGCTGTGATGATCCCAGTGTGTACAGCTGTGATGATCCTGGTGTACAGCTGTGATGATCCCTGTGTGTACAGCTGTGATGATCCTAGTGTGTACAGCTGTGATAACCCTGGTGTGTGTTTGTGTGTTACAGAGGAGGTTGGGCCAGGGCTGGTGCTGTGGCAGATGCCGGCAGCCTTCACAGCTCTCAACATTCCACCCATATACGCTTTCCTCTTCCTTCTCTCCGCATTCCTCTTTGGTCTCATGTTCTTGGTGAGTAGGGGAGTTGTGCTTGACTAAACTATAGCTAATTACCAGCTGTAAAACTTACTGTATGAGAGATTTGTAGGGAGACAATGAATAAACTGTGATTTACTGAGTTAGCTGTAATGTAGTGATCAGACCTGTGTTTAACATGTATATTTTATGTCGTATGTTATTGGGGTGAAAAATTGTGCAGAACATCTTTACTGTGTATATCTTGGTCTGCAGTTTGTTTATCTATTTCAAACATGACTGCACGTGTAACTGTTAAATTGTGCAAATCTTTCATCATCATATTAACACGTTGATCAATATTAGCAGTAATTGGCTGTGTAAGTGAGTTGATCACCCAAATCAGATCTAATTCAACATACATAAAATAGCATTTTCTTCAAAAGATTATGTTTTGGGGGGAAGACATCCAAGTGAGTGTTGTTATGTATGTCCAGGTGGTGGGCTCCTTGACCATAGTGGACAACATCATGGACAGTCTGGAGGAGTGGATAGACAAGAAGTGCTGCAGCAAGATCGTCATCCACCTGCTCATGACCTTTGTCATCATGTGTGTTGCTAAAGGCATGGGGATCCTACAGACAACCAAGGTAGAGACAAGGTTTGGGGGATCCTACAGACAACCAAGGTAGAGACAAGGTTTGGGGGATCCTACAGACAACCAAGGTAGAGACAAGGTTTGGGGGGGATCCTACAGACAACCAAGGTAGAGACAAGGTTTGGGGGATCCTACAGACAACCAAGGTAGAGACAAGGTTTGGGGGGGGGGGGGGGGATCCTACAGACAACCAAGGTAGAGACAAGGTTTGGGGGGGATCCTACAGACAACCAAGGTAGAGACAAGGTTTGGGGGATCCTACAGACAACCAAGGTAGAGACAAGGTTTTGGGGGGGATCCTACAGACAACCAAGGTAGAGACAAGGTTTGGGGGATCCTACAGACAACCAAGGTAGAGACAAGGTTTGGGGGATCCTACAGACAACCAAGGTAGAGACAAGGTTTGGGGGGGATCCTACAGACAACCAAGGTAGAGACAAGGTTTGGGGGATCCTACAGACAACCAAGGTAGAGACAAGGTTTGGGGGGGGGGGGGGGGGGGGGGGATCCTACAGACAACCAAGGTAGAGACAAGGTTTTGGGGGGATCCTACAGACAACTAAGGTAGAGACAAGGTTTGGAGGGATCCTACAGACAAACAAGATAAGAGACAAGGTTTGGGGGATCCTACAGACAACCAAGGTAGCGACAAGGTTCGGGAGAATCCTACATGCCAGCTGACCCTTTGTGTACATGCCAGCTGACCCTGTGTGTGTACATGCCAGCTGATCCTGTGTGTGTGTGTACATGCCAGCTTACCCTTTGTGTGTGTACATGCCAGCTGATCCTGTGTGTGTACATGCCAGCTGACCCTTTGTGTGAACATGTCAGCTGACCCTCTGTTTGTGTGTGTGTGTGTGTATGTAAATGCCAGCTGACCCTGTGTGTGTACATGCCAGCTGACCCTGTGTGTCTGTACATGCCAGCTGACCCTGTGTGTGTGTACATGCCAGCTGTCCCTGCGTGTGTGTATACATGCCAGCTGACCCTGTGTGTGTGTACATGCCAGCTGTTCCTGTGTGAGTGTGTACATGCTAGCTGACCCTGTGTGTATGTACAAGCCAGCTGATACTGTCTCAGTGTGTACATGCCAGCTAACCCTGTGTGACTGTGTACATGCCAGGTGATCCTGTGATACTGTGTACGGGCCAGCTGACCCTTTCTTGTGTACATGCCAGCTGACCCTGTGTGTGTACATGCCAACTGTCCCTGTGTGTGTGTACATGCCAGCTGACCCTGTGTGTGTACATGCCAGCTGACCCAGTGCGTGTACATGCCAGCTGACCCTGTGTGTGTACATGCCAGCTGACCCTGTGTGTGTACATGCCAGCTGACCCTTCGTGTGTGTGTACATGCCAGCTGATCCTGTGTGTGTGTACATGCCAGCTGACCCTGTGTTCTGTTCTCCTTCAGGCAGGAATGTACTACTTCATCCTCATTGACCAGTCCATCTCCAAGCTTCAGTTTATCCTTGTCATACTGCTGGCATTCGGCTTGCTGGTTGTGTACAGTGAGTATACCATCTCCAGCCCCTACTATTCACACTGGAAATGTTTACCTTGTATACTTCAACATAACGATCTGTGCCAGGTTAGGAAAATATCTGGGAGTGTGACATTGTCAGCTATGATTGACGTGTGCATGTTCTTGATCCCACATAAAGCTGTAATATATATACTGGTAAAAACAACATTATGTAGGGATATGATAATTATACTGTAAAGATGTTTGTTTTGTGATGTTCATGTTATATCATGATAACAGCTCTTGGTCCTTACCATTAAGGGACTGTGATATAGCTGGGATGTTGGTAAAAGTAGTGTAAAACAGCACTTTACTGAGGAAAGGTGCAAACATTATCGGTGGGGGAGATTTTGCTGACATGTATAAAGTTTCAGATCTTTCTCAGTCATGTCAATAACTGGTCTCTTACTCATCTACACTTAAGTGTAACAGTTGGCAGACCAATGTTATTTGTAAGGACAAGCTCCATAAGTGTAACAGTTGGCAGACCAATGTTATTTGTAAGGACAAGCTCCATGAGTGTAACAGTTGGCAGACCAATGTTATTTGTAAGGACAAGCTCCATAAGTGTAACAGTTGGCAGACCAATGTTATTTGTAAGGACAAGCTCCATAAGTGTAACAGTTGGCAGAGTAATCTTATTAGTAAGGACAAGCTCCATGAGTGTAACAGTTGGCAGACCAATGTTATTTGTAAGGACACACTCCAGTCAGTGTAACAGTTGGCAGACCAATGTTATTTGTAAGGACAAGCTCTATGAGTGTAACAGTTGGCAGACCAATGTTATTTGTACGGACACGCTCCATGAGTGTAACAGTTGGCAGACCAATGTTATTTGTAAGGACAAGCTCCATGAATGACACAGTTGGCAGACCAATGTTATTCGTAAGGACGAGCTCCATGAATGACACAGTTGGCAGACCAATGTTATTTGTAAGGACAAGCTCCATGAGTGTAACAGTTGACAGACCAATGTTATTTGTAAGACACGCTTCATGAGTGTAACAGTTGGCAGACCAATGTTATTTGTAAGGACACGCTCCATGAGTGTAACAGTTGGCAGACCAATGTTATTTGTAAGGACAAGCTCCAGTCAGTGGAACAGTTGGCAGACTAATGTTATTTGTAAGGACAAGCTCCATGAGTGTAACAGTTGGCAGACCAATGTTATTTGTAAGGACAAGCTCCATGAGTGTAACAGTTGGCAGACCAATGTTATTTGTAAGGACAAGCTCCATGAGTGTAACAGTTGGCAGACCAATGTTATTTGTAAGGACAAGCTCCATGAGTGTAACAGTTGGCAGACCAATGTTATTTGTAAGGACACACTCCATGAGTGTAACAGTTGGCAGACCAATGTTATTTGTAAGGACAAGCTCCATGAGTGTAACAGTTGGCAGACCAATGTTATTTGTAAGGACACACTCCATGAGTGTAACAGTTGGCAGACCAATGTTATTTGTAAGGACAAGCTCCATGAGTGTAACAGTTGGCAGACCAATGTTATTCGTAAGGACAAGCTCCATGAGTGTAACAGTTGGCAGACCAATGTTATTTGTAAGGACAAGCTCCATGAGTGTAACAGTTGGCAGACCAATGTTATTTGTAAGGACAAGCTCCATGAATGACACAGTTGGCAGACCAATGTTATTTGTAAGGACACACTCCATGAGTGTAACAGTTGGCAGACCAATGTTATTTGTAAGGACAAGCTCCATGAGTGTAACAGTTGACAGACTAATGTTATTTGTAAGGACGCGCTCCAGTCAGTGGAACAGTTGGCAGACTAATGTTATTTGTAAGGACGAGCTCCAGTCAGTGGAACAGTTGGCAGACTAATGTTATTTGTAAGGACGAGCTCTCGACAGTGTAACAGTTGGCAGACTAACGTTTTTCGTAAGGACGAGCTCCATCCGTGTAACAGTTGGCAGACTAATGTTATTTGTAAGGACGAGCTCCATCAGTGTTACAGTTGGCAGACTAATGTTATTTGTACGGACACGCTCCAGTCAGTGTAACAGTTGGCACACTGATGTTATTTGTAAGGACAAGCTCCATGAGTGTAACAGTTGGCAGACCAATGTTATTTGTAAGGACACACTCCATGAGTGTAACAGTTGGCAGACCAATGTTATTTGTAAGGACAAGCTCCATGAGTGTAACAGTTGGCAGACCAATGTTATTTGTAAGGACACACTCCATGAGTGTAACAGTTGGCAGACCAATGTTATTTGTAAGGACAAGCTCCATGAGTGTAACAGTTGGCAGACCAATGTTATTCGTAAGGACAAGCTCCATGAGTGTAACAGTTGGCAGACCAATGTTATTTGTAAGGACAAGCTCCATGAGTGTAACAGTTGGCAGACCAATGTTATTTGTAAGGACAAGCTCCATGAATGACACAGTTGGCAGACCAATGTTATTTGTAAGGACACACTCCATGAGTGTAACAGTTGGCAGACCAATGTTATTTGTAAGGACAAGCTCCATGAGTGTAACAGTTGACAGACTAATGTTATTTGTAAGGACGCGCTCCAGTCAGTGGAACAGTTGGCAGACTAATGTTATTTGTAAGGACGAGCTCCAGTCAGTGGAACAGTTGGCAGACTAATGTTATTTGTAAGGACGAGCTCTCGACAGTGTAACAGTTGGCAGACTAACGTTTTTCGTAAGGACGAGCTCCATCCGTGTAACAGTTGGCAGACTAATGTTATTTGTAAGGACGAGCTCCATCAGTGTTACAGTTGGCAGACTAATGTTATTTGTACGGACACGCTCCAGTCAGTGTAACAGTTGGCACACTGATGTTATTTGTAAGGACAAGCTCCATGAGTGTAACAGTTGGCAGACCAATGTTATTTGTAAGGACAAGCTCCATCAGTGTAACAGCTGACAGACTGATGTTATTAGTAAGGACGAGCTCCAGTCAGTGTAACAGTTGGCACACTAATGTTATTTATAAGGACAAGCTCCATCAGTGTAACAGTTGGCACACTAATATTCTGTTTGTTTTTCAGTTAAGCAGAACTTTGCCCTGGCCGAGAGGATAATCATGGGTCTGTGGTTCATTGTCTCTGCAGTCTTCACAGCGGTGAGTTCACAACTGTCAGCTGATACACTGTAGCTCTTGTACTGATACCAATGTGGACATACAGACACATCATCTATAATCCACTGTAGCAGTTGCATTGACTGCTCCCCAAAAGGGTCTTTGGTTTATATGTTTCTCTACTCCTCACAGGGAATGTGGTTCACGCTGTTCCTGAAGACGAGGGACCGTGACCTGATCTACGAGGAAGACAACTACACGTTCCCCGAGCCCTGGAAAATTGTGAGCTGGTGCATCGCTGTCCTTCCCTACATCGGCATCCTGCTGGGGGCGCTGCACACACTGTTCACCACACATGGACCCGGGGTATGCCACAAACACACACAGTGCACACACACATCACAGGGGGGATGATGACGCCCAACTTTTGTCTGCAGTTGGGTACTGGTACTTTTGATTACGCCAAAGCTTTGTCAGCAGTTGGGCACTGGTATGGTTGATGACGCCCAACCTTAGTCTGCAGTTGGACACTGGTATGGTTGATGACGCCCAACCTTAGTCTGCAGTTGGACACTGGTTCGGTTGATGACGCCCAACCGTAGTCTGCAGTTGGGCACTGGTTCGCTTGATGATGCCCAACCTTAGTCTGCAGTTGGGAACTGGTACGGTTGATGACGCCCAACCGTAGTCTGCAGTTGGGCACTGGTACGGTTGATGATACCCAACCGTAGTCTGCAGTTGGGCACTGGTACGGTTGATGACGCCCAACCTTAGTCTGCAGTTGGGCACTGGTACGGTTGATGATACCCAACCTTAGTCTGCAGTTGGGCACTGGTACGGTTGATGATACCCAACCTTAGTCTGCAGTTGGGCACTGGTATGGTTGATGACGCCCAACCTTAGTCTGCAGTTGGGCACTGGTACGGTTGATGATACCCAACCTTAGTCTGCAGTTGGGCACTGGTACGGTTGATGATACCCAAGCTGTTTCTCATACAGCTGGTGACTACTACAACGAAAGTGTAACCATGTTAGTGCAGACACTTCTTACTCTAGGCATGGCTGACATTATTGTAGGAGCAGAGAACAGGAACAGTCAGCAATACCAGCGCAACAATAGTTTCCTTGCAGCAAGCACCGAGTCTGTCATTTTCAGTTAAATGTTTACTTTTTGCATTGCAATTATTTAAAATTTATGCTTTGAAAGCATTCTTGTTGGAAAAATATAATTTTGGATTTCAGTCCGTTTCTTACCAACTGAATAAGGATGATGGTATTATGATGATTATATTTACATATATAATGTCCAGGTTTTGTAGAGTGCTGGACTTAAAGTAACATATTTCAAGATTACGTGAGATGTGATGCGTGGTACTGAAACAGACGGGGATGAAAACCATGTACCAAGTACTTCCTTATGGCCTTGTGCTGCAGTTGGGATATTGTACCTCCATTAACCACATGATCAACTGACATAGTTTAAGGCCTCTGTTTTCCTTGTCTAAGTTTTGCCTTCCGACATATACTTGCAGTTCTTCACTAAGTGTTGCTGTGGCGTCACAGAGCGGGTGCGTGAACATGAGGATACTGAACATGAGGAGACCCTGATGGCGTATCACCCCCCGCCCCCCGAGCCCACTGCGCCCCCCTATATGCAGACATACATGGAACACAGCTACCCCATGGATGACCTGGGTTATAACCCCAAGTACGACTATGACCCCCCAGAGACGGAGCCATTGACAGCTTCCAATCACTGTACACGCATCTGATACTGCATCAACAGCTGGCCTGGGCACACACGTCTGGCTGCCTGTGTCACAGGTCATCATCACACTGATGCGACTGTTCCTCACAAGTCTCCCGAATCTCTAAATGCTTATGTTGACAGTATGTGTTACTTCATGTCACCGGTTATATCACAGTGTGTTGTTGCCAGCCGTCAGGATCGTGGGTACATTGAGCAGAGGGATCTGATGCAGCTGGTTAATGATGTGCAGGGGGAGACAACTCAGTTCCATGTGTTCAAGAATGTGTTCTGTCCCGGGTGCACTGTACAACACTGTGGTGATAGAGACACCACATCGCCAACATGGCTGGTGACGAATAGTTGTTTTGATTCCACTTTTCATCAATTGTATGAGAAACATGTTTAATGTGGAAGTGAAACTTCACACAAGGACAGGACCTACTTTCTACTTTTGGCTACAAAGACAGCAGTGTCTCTTATTTCTTATTTAAGTCCTCGAGATTCCATCGCTCTCAATGTGAATATGTCATCAACATCCAACTCCAGAAGCAATGGCCGACCTGTGCCGACCTGTGCCAACATGCTTGTGATGTGTGAGGTTGTTGTCATCAGCATCATGTGACAATGGGAGCTGCCTGCCTGGTCACACTCAGACACTCAGCAGATGCTGTCAATTCACCTTTTTGATATTACATGCAATTCTTTTACAAAAACCTCCTCATGCTATTTTGTCCATCTGTCTCAGTACTTACTGTTGTGTGTTCGTGATCAACACTGATTCTACCTGGGCCTTTAAGACAAGTTGTACCATAGAACTATTTAAAATTTTTACTATAGAACTATTTAATTTTGTACTAGAGAACTATTTAAGGTTCTACTATAGAACTATTTAAGGTTCTACTATAGAACTATTTAAGGTTCTACTATAGAACTATTTAAAGTTCTACTATAGAACTATTTAAGGTTCTACTATAGAACTATTTAAGGTTCTACTATAGAACTTTGTGTTTCGTGTCTAGATTCCCTTTCACATTGATACCACAGACTTCACAATCATACACAGATGTGTGTATCACATACCACTGTACGGAAGAACATCTACAGGGGGCGGAAGTGTTTGTTTTGTTAAGGACTGGCTAATTTCTTGCCCCATGGTCTGATTATTATTTTGGGAAGGAACTATGCTGGCCATTGGTGAGTCAGGTACACCCCCACTCACTCACTCACTCACCCACTCACTCACTTACTCACTCACTCACTCACTCACACTGGCAGCATTACATTTGTACTAAATACTTATACACTTAATATTTCTGTTTTTGATAAGCTATTTGTGACCATATTTACTAGGGGTGAAACAATACAGCAAGGTCATGATACAAAACGTATCACGATACATAGGTAACAATATGATACATATCGTGATACACATATTTACGTCAAATTGCATGGAAACTTCTCGACTATAAATATTTCTGAGCATGTTCTTAATTATATGGAAAAGCTAGCTGAAGACACATGTTCGTAGCTGCTATTTTTAGCAGTGGACTTGGAATGCTAATTACAACACATTTTGCGATATTTGACGAACAAAATCGCTGGGGGTCTTTGAACGAGTAGTTAATAATATATTTTAGCAAGTGTATAGACTTGTATCAGTACAGAAGAAAACGTGTCATGTATTGTATTATTGCATGAAAACTTATGATGCATGGTGCACTGATGTATTGTTTCACCCCTAATATTAACAAGCAAAGTGAAGTAGTTTGAGGGAATGTGGCAGTGGAGCTGGAGCTGCAGGGGTCAGTATGAGAAGTCTTCGGGAGTCTTGATGCATGGCTGTGTTTTCATGAGCACAATTTAAGAGAGTCATGCAACATTTTCAAGTAAAGGTGGTTTTGTTTTCGCCCTTAACCGTTTAGAAATGCAAGTCACATTAAATAACATTCTATCAATTAAAACACATGGTAAAGATACTGTAAATTATTTCTTTTACCATGGCAACAGTCTCCTGGATATTTTGTAAGGAACTAGAACAGACTGTTACAGATATGTTGCAATAAATATAACTCATGTTTTGAATGGTGTGTCGACCTGCCTGCAGCAGTTGATGGTGACCTCTCAGTGGATGACCACCAGGTTACATGCAAACATGACACAAGAGGCTGACCTCTCAGTGGATGACCACCAGGTTACATGCCAACATGACACAAGAGGCTGACCTCTCAGTGGATGACCACCAGGTTACATGCCAACATGACAGGAGGCTGACCTCTCAGTGGATGACCACCAGGTTACATGCCAACATGACACAAGAGGCTGACCTCTCAGTGGATGACCACCAGGTTACATGCCAACATGACACAAGAGGCTGACCTCTCAGTGGATGACCACCAGGTTACATGCCAACATGACACAAGAGGCTGACCTCTCAGTGGATGACCACCAGGTTACATGCCAACATGACAGGAGGCTGACCTCTCAGTGGATGACCACCAGGTTACATGCCAACATGACACAAGAGGCTGACCTCTCAGTGGATGACCACCAGGTTACATGCCAACATGACACAAGAGGCTGACCTCTCAGTGGATGACCACCAGGTTACATGCCAACATGACACAAGAGGCTCACCTCTCAGTGGATGACCACCAGGTTACATGCCAACATGACACAAGAGGCTGACCTCTCAGTGGATGACCACCAGGTTACATGCCAACATGACACAAGTGGCTCACCTCTCATTGGATGACCACCAGGTTACATGCCAACATGACAGGAGGCTGACCTCTCATTGGATGACCACCAGGTTACATGCCAACATGACACAAGAGGCTGACCTCTCAGTGGATGACCACCAGGTTACATGCCAACATGACACAAGAGGCTGACCTCTCAGTGGATGACCACCAGGTTACATGCCAACATGACAGGAGGCTGACCTCTCAGTGGATGACCACCAGGTTACATGCCAACCATGACACAAGAGGCCGACCTCTCACTGGATGACCACCAGGTTACATGCCAACATGACACAGGAGGCTGACCTCTCAGTGGATGACCACCAGGTTACATGCCAACATGACACAAGAGGCTGACCTCTCAGTGGATGACCACCAGGTTACATGCCAACATGACACAAGAGGCTGACCTCTCAGTGGATGACCACCAGGTTACATGCCAACATGACACAAGAGGCTGACCTCTCAGTGGATGACCACCAGGTTACATGCCAACATGACACAAGAGGCTGACCTCTCAGTGGATGACCACCAGGTTACATGCCAACATGACACAAGAGGCTGACCTCTCAGTGGATGACCACCAGGTTACATGCCAACATGACACAAGAGGCTGACCTCTCAGTGGATGACCACCAGGTTACATGCCAACATGACACAAGAGGCTGACCTCTCAGTGGATGACCACCAGGTTACATGCCAACATGACAGGAGGCTGACCTCTCAGTGGATGACCACCAGGTTACATGCCAACATGACACAAGAGGCTGACCTCTCAGTGGATGACCACCAGGTTACATGCCAACATGACACAAGAGGCTGACCTCTCATTGGATGACCACCAGGTTACATGCCAACATGACAGGAGGCTGACCTCTCATTGGATGACCACCAGGTTACATGCCAACCATGACACAAGAGGCTGACCTCTCATTGGATGACCACCAGGTTACATGCCAACATGACACAGGAGGCTGACCTCTCATTGGATGACCACCAGGTTACATGCCAACATGACACAAGAGGCTGACCTCTCAGTGGATGACCACCAGGTTACATGCCAACATGACACAAGAGGCTGACCTCTCAGTGGATGACCACCAGGTTACACGCCATCATGACACAAGAGGCTGACCTCTCAGTGGATGACCACCAGGTTACATGCCAACATGACACAAGAGGCTGACCTCTCAGTGGATGACCACCAGGTTACACGCCATCATGACACAAGAGGCTGACCTCTCAGTGGATGACCACCAGGTTACACGCCATCATGACAGGAGAGGCAACTGCCTGAGCCAGATATAATACCAAAGAAGTTAGTTTTTTCTCTCCTGACTCACTTAATGATGATGGTTAACAAACGTCAACCTATAATTATGCCATATTTCATATTTCATACCTTATAATTCCAATACTTTTCTGCCATAAGTTACTTTCATGTGAACAAACTCATCACACAGCGACACTTTGTCATACATTATTGCAGTAGGATTTCTTTTTCCATTTTTAGACTGGACAAGCTGGGTATGTTTACACCTTGTCTTGTCATCATGTACTCACAGCTAGATTTTTTTTATCTTTATTTGCATGTGGAATAGTAGTACTAGTCCTGTAGACATGTAGACGTGACTAGTCCTTCAGTAGTTGGACAACGTCCACATCCTGACCTGGGACCCATGCATGTTCTCTATGTACATATGGAGGCACAGATTAACAATTGTTTTGTACAAATGTTCATGTCCGTTTTTATACATAATACATATTTTGTATAGCACATTTTACATGTGACGTCGTCTCCTGTTTCTGTGAGGGGCTGTCAGTGTGTTTGCCTGGTCTGTACATACATGTGTATTGTCTGTTGGGGTAAATTGACGGCGACACTCTCCGCTCGGTCCACAACTACACTTAATCAGTCAGGACAGTTTTATCAGTTATACACCTGGAAAACAGCACTGCTTACAACATAGTTCCACAGGAAACAGACATGGTTTACTTATTCACATTCTGTGTTAATGTTCTGAAAAAACACGTTTTGTATACGTTGTGAAACATTCAAACTGAAATACAAAAATCAATGATCTGTTTACCTGATTGCCTGATTATCTGATTATCTGTTTACCTGATTGCCTGATTATCTGATTATCTGTTTACCTGATTGCCTGATTATCTACTTACAGTTTAGGGACCGACCGTTTCCTATTCTGTGGGGGGGTGGCAGGGCGGGGTGGCAGGGCGGGGTGGCAGGGCAGGCTGGCAGGGCGGGGTGGCAGGGGGGGTGGCAAGTATCCAGATTAGATAGTTTTTTCAGCTACAGCTACAAAACCAGATGTTCTTTTTTTTAAACTATGAGCCCGAATTGTTTTTTAAGTAAAACACCTTGAATCAATGTCCTATTTGTGGCAGTCAATCTCTTATTTTTGACAAGTATAAAGCATAATTTTTGTTTTTCAAGAATTTTTGGGGACATGTTATTTTTTCTGTCCCTTATCTCAATATCTCATTATCTGATGTCCTTTTTACCTGATTACCGATAACCTGATTATCTATTTACCTGTTTATCCGATGACCTGTCGTGTTACTGTTCCATGACAGTAGCTGGTTGTGAGGACCCTCTACTTGCTACTTCTCAAAATGACATTACTCCTGGCCACACCTGGGACAGTCAGACAGCAGACAGTAGTCTTTACAAACAATGAAGCTGGTAGTTCCATCGTAGACCTCGGGCTAAATGAGATGTCATGTATGTTTCCATGGACAATATGGATGTTCAGGATCAGTGACAACAGAGAAGGGTTGGTGCCCTCTTTCTTCCAGGTGTATATAGTACTCTTTTAAAATAACAAATTGCTTAAAAGAATGCATGTGTATTTTATTCTGCACAAAGTACCTTTCATCAGAAGTTATTATCAGGTTATTCCTGTATACAGATATACCAATGATTGGTCAATGTTTCTATTTCAGCCTGCTGCCACAAGAAACATTAGAATTGTCAAACTTGTTCAAATATTCACAAATTGTATTATTTTTAATAATGAAAGTAGTATTATGTCAATCTTTTATAATTTTTTGCGCATATTATGTTCTATAGTTAGAATATTGCATTCCGTTATTATTTTGTTGTATTATGTATTATTTTCAAGAGTGCCATAAAACATGTTTGTATTCCACCTGGAACAGCATGTTGTGTGAAGCAGGTGTGTTGAGGTGTGCAGGGCTCCATGTAAGGCCACACCTTGTTTCTCCACTTGCCTCACGGATCTGCATCTGTAAATTTTGTTAAAAAGGAAAGAGAAGAATTCAGAATTTCCTCTCGATAATTTCCCGATAAGCTCATAGCATATTGTGCTAAAACAATTTTTTTAGAAACAATGACCCCCTGAAGTTAACATATATCATTATTATAGTATATATGGGAGTCAAAATAAAGTTTGTTGTTCCTGAAATTGATGGGATCCCTAGAAGCACACCAGTAATATGCTTGATTCAACAGGTATGCCATGGCTTACAGCAACAGCTGTTGTGCAGGCTCTCCTCTCTCATTAAACCATTTAGAATTTGTTTTATCCAGCTGACCTGTAGTGGAGCAGAAAACAAATAATTAATTAGATTGCTTTTTCTGTTTCCCCACCTACTGACAGGTATTTTCCTCTCAGACATCTGTGAAGCAAGTAAAAAACAAAGTGTGGCCTAGCTGAGAAGGAGAACGTGTTACTATTTCTTAACTCACTAACTGTCTCTGTTATTGGTACATTGTATTTTAGATGAAAGAGATAAGCCAAGATTTCCTTTTTATTTGGTTTACTGAATCCTCCGTCCCTCAAAAAATGACAAGTTGAAAATAGCTGATGTGAAAAACATTATTGTTTGTTATTCCATTGAACTTGTAAACTTACGCATTCGCCACAAGAGAAGTGTACATGCAATAGGTTTGACTTTATGACTGATACGACAAGTCGACTAACGCTGCTCTCATGGCACCATTTTCAGACAACATTTGGAAGAATTAAAAATATCTGAATCTTATTTATGTTTATTTTGTTGCCCACTACCTACTAAGATTTTTTTTAAAGTGTTATTAAAGAAATGTAAAATATTTGCCAATGGCTTAATTAAATTAGAATCCCATTTTGCTTTACTAAGAGATTGTTTTGGTTTCAGTACATGTTAGCTATGTAATGTTCACTCACCATTCAGCTTGGTGATGCAAGAGACAAAGTCTAGCTTCTTTGTTTCTTCTGTTGCAACATGAAAGACAGACTGAGCATCATCTACACGGGGCACAAAGGCTGGGACAGATTTACTGTTTTGTAACAAGAGGATCAGTAAAATATCAGTTTTCACACCACTGGGTTTGTTGTTTGTGTTGGTGGACTGTGCAGCACTGAACTGTCACACATTGTCTCCATCTAGTTAGGGTGTGTTGGTGGACTGTGCAGCGCTGAACTGTCACACATTGTCTCCATCTAGTTAGGGTGTGTTGGTGGACTGTGCAGCACTGTTCTATCACACATTGTCTCCATCTAGTTAGGGTGTGTTGGTGGACTGTGCAGCGCTGAACTGTCACACATTGTCTCCATCTAGTTAGGGTGTGTTGGTGGACTGTGCAGCACTGTTCTATCACACATTGTCTCCATCTAGTAAGGGTGTGTTGGTGGACTGTGCAGCACTGAACTGTCACACATTGTCTCCATCTAGTTAGGGTGTGTTGATGGACTGTGCAGCACTGTTCTGTCACACATTGTCTCCATCTAGTTAGGGTGTGTTGATGGACTGTGCAGCACTGTTCTGTCACACATTGTTTCCATCTAGTTAGGGTGTGTTGGTGGACTGTGCAGCACTGAACTGTCACACATTGTCTCCATCTAGTTAGGGTGTGTTGGTGGACTGTGCAGCACTGAACTGTCACACATTGTCTCCATCTAGTTAGGGTGTGTTGGTGGACTGTGCAGCACTGTTCCGTCACACATTGTCTCCATCTAGTTAGGGTGTGTGGTGGACTGTGCAGCACTGTTTTACCACACATTGTCTCCATCTAGTTAGGGTGTGTTGGTGGACTGTGCAGCACTAAACTGTCACACATTGTCTCCATCTAGTTAGGGTGTGTTGGTGGACTGTGCAGCACTGAACTGTCACACATTGTCTCCATCTAGTTAGGGTGTGTTGGTGGACTGTGCAGCACTGAACTGTCACACATTGTCTCCATCTAGTTAGGGTGTGTTGGTGGACTGTGCAGCACTGAACTGTCACACATTGTCTCCATCTAGTTAGGGTGTGTTGGTGGACTGTGCAGCACTGTTCTGTCACACATTGTCTCCATCTAGTTAGGGTGTGTTGGTGGACTGTGCAGCACTGTTCTGTCACACATTGTCTCCATCTAGTTAGGGTGTGTTGATGGACTGTGCAGCACTGAACTGTCACACATTGTCTCCATCTAGTTAAGGTGTGTTGGTGGACTGTGCAGCACGGTTCTGTCACACAGTGTCTCCATCTAGTTAGGGTGTGTTGATGGACTGTGCAGCACTAAACTGTCACACATTGTCTCCATCTAGTTAGGGTGTGTTGGTGGACTGTGCAGCACTGAACTGTCACACATTGTCTCCATCTAGTTAGGGTGTGTTGGTGGACTGTGCAGCACTGTTCTACCACACATTGTCTCCATCTAGTTAGGGTGTGTTGGTGGACTGTGCAGCACTAAACTGTCACACATTGTCTCCATCTAGTTAGGGTGTGTTGGTGGACTGTGCAGCACTGAACTGTCACACATTGTCTCCATCTAGTTAGGGTGTGTTGGTGGACTGTGCAGCACTGAACTGTCACACATTGTCTCCATCTAGTTAGGGTGTGTTGGTGGACTGTGCAGCACTGTTTTACCACACATTGTCTCCATCTAGTTAGGGTGTGTTGGTGGACTGTGCAGCACTAAACTGTCACACATTGTCTCCATCTAGTTAGGGTGTGTTGGTGGACTGTGCAGCACTGAACTGTCACACATTGTCTCCATCTAGTTAGGGTGTGTTGGTGGACTGTGCAGCACTGAACTGTCACACATTGTCTCCATCTAGTTAGGGTGTGTTGGTGGACTCTGCAGCACTGAACTGTCACACATTGTCTCCCCTTTAGTTAGGGTGTGTTGGTGGACTGTGCAGCACTGTTCTGTCACACATTGTCTCCATCTAGTTAGGGTGTGTTGGTGGACTGTGCAGCACTGTTCTGTCACACATTGTCTCCATCTAGTTAGGGTGTGTTGATGGACTGTGCAGCACTGAACTGTCACACATTGTCTCCATCTAGTTAAGGTGTGTTGGTGGACTGTGCAGCACGGTTCTGTCACACAGTGTCTCCATCTAGTTAGGGTGTGTTGATGGACTGTGCAGCACTAAACTGTCACACATTGTCTCCATCTAGTTAGGGTGTGTTGGTGGACTGTGCAGCACTGAACTGTCACACATTGTCTCCATCTAGTTAGGGTGTGTTGGTGGACTGTGCAGCACTGTTCTACCACACATTGTCTCCATCTAGTTAGGGTGTGTTGGTGGACTGTGCAGCACTGAACTGTCACACATTGTCTCCATCTAGTTAGGGTGTGTTGATGGACTGTGCAGCACTGTTCTACCACACATTGTCTCCATCTTGTTAGGGTGTGTTGATGGACTGTGCAGCACTGAACTGTCACACATTGTCTCCATCTAGTTAGGATGTGTTGGTGGACTGTGCAGCACTGAACTGTCACACATTGTCTCCATCTAGTTAGGGTGTGTTGGTGGACTGTGCAGCACTGAACTGTCACACATTGTCTCCATCTAGTTAGGGTGTGTTGGTGGACTGTGCAGCACTGTTCTGTCACACATTGTCTCCATCTAGTTAGGGTGTGTTGGTGGACTGTGCAGCACTGAACTGTCACACATTGTCTCCATCTAGTTAGGGTGTGTTGGTGGACTGTGCAGCACTGAACTGTCACACAGTGTCTCCATCTAGTTAGGGTGTGTTGGTGGACTGTGCAGCACTGAACTGTCATACATTGTCTCCATCTAGTTAGGGTGTGTTGATGGACTGTGCAGCACTGTTCTGTCACACATTGTCTCCATCTAGTTAGGGTGTGTTGGTGGACTGTGCAGCACTGTTCTGTCACACATTGTCTCCATCTAGTTAGGGTGTGTTGGTGGACTGTGAAGCACTGAACTACCACACATTGTCTCCATCTAGTTAGGGTGTGTTGGTGGACTGTGCAGCACTGAAATGTCACACATTGTCTCCATCTAGTGAGGGTGTGTTGATGGACTTTGCAGCACGGTTCTGTCACACAGTGTCTCCATCTAGTTAGGGTGTGTTGGTCGACCATGCAGCACTGTTCTGTCACATATTGTTTCCATCCAACTACTCTCCGAGACTAACGGTGCTTCACTTCAACTGATTTGCGACCTGCGACCTGCGCGCTGTGCACAGGACCACATGCCACCACGTCAGTTTAGTCACATTACATTCATATTAATTAAGTGGACCCTGCCGTATATGATTAGCTCGGCGTTAGCTAAAGATAGCTATGAACACATAGTGGATAGCACTTTAATCG